TTTGCTTTGTGGAGGCCCTCAGTTAATGAAATTCCTGTCATATTAATTTTGGAATTTAGATATATATTAATTGGGAAAAAAATCAGAACTAGGACTTTGAAGTAAAACAGAAAGAAAATCTTGTTTTGAGGCCTAACAGTAGTTATTTAAAAGTAATAATAAAAAATGCAGCTTTGATAAAGGAAATAAGCAGAGCTGAATAGGGGTTTCAGATTTTAAGGATATACATATGTTCAGTTGCTGGAAGCGTTGTATTTATGTGAGTTAACAAAACCTTTCCTCCTAGAGCATATGTAATTTGTAACACCTAATACATGATATATAAGAATTGCCAACAAATTCAGGCCTTTAGCAAGAGAGCTTCTGAGATTTATTGCAGGAAGTTTGGTGTATTTTTGGCATGGTCAGTGAACAGCAGTGTAAGGTTTATTATTTGAGATCAGACGGGTTCCAGAAAGACATCTTCCAGCCATCGGCTGTGAAGCAGGGACAGGATTAACTTGGCTTTCTGCACCCCGAAAGCCGAGAGCATCTCATCCTCGCCGGATGAGAAGTTGGGAGCAGTGCCTTCGCAACTGCCTTCCCGCTGCGGGCAGAGGGTGCAGGCAGAGAGATGACCCGGGAGCCACGCCGTGTCAGAAAACCTTCACAAGAGGCTTTGCTGTAAATCTTTGATTGACGTGCGCAGCGCGTCTTAGAGGAGAGTTAAAGCTGTGTGTTCCCTTGTTCTGGGTGCGATCTAGGAGCGTAAGGCACCTGTCTCATCCACTGCTGGTGCCGTCTGCAGTGCATTGGTGTTCCACACCTATGAGACCGTAGCCTGTGCAAGGGGTACAGCCCCAAAATAAGTACTGAATTTTGGAAGTGAATTTTAGGAAACTGATGTATTGGGTGGAGGTCAACCTGCAGGAAACAGGAGGATCATCTGTCATGTTCTGCCTTTTAGTTTTTAAATCTATCATCAGCAATGGCAAGCATACCAGAATCAGGATGAAGAGGAGGTTGCCATTTATGCGTTTAAGAGCAAAGTCCCTAATAGGAAGGCCTGGGAAACATTCCCATGGGGACACTTCCAGGCAGGCTATGTTCACAGCAGCAGAGGCAGGCGCAAGCACATTGTACTGCACAAGTTTTCCAGACAAGCAAAATGAGCCTCTCTCTCAAAGAAGTCTTGTATCAAAAGGCTGTTCGTGGAAGTTGTCTTGATGATTAAGTTTTTCTAATTGTGCATTTTGGAAGTAGGGTTTGTTCTATTATGTACCAGATGAGAGCAACAGAATTTTCTAAACTGAGTGAGACCGAATCTTCCTATAAATCTTTGTAATTTGTTCCTAAAACTATAATGGGAAACCTGTACTGAATGCTGTGCTAACACAGCACATAAGGAGGTTTGCTAAGTGAGGAGCCAGTGTTCCCACACATGGCGTGTCTGTGATCCATTGCACAAAGCCGAGTCACAGGAACATGAGCAGACCCTCAACCTTCTGTTCATCCCAAATGCATGCAGAAGAGCGGAAAAGAGCAGGTGTCCCCTGAGGAGAAAGGGAGCGATCCTACACCAAGTGACACTAACATAATGTTCACTCTGGAGACATGTCAAAATTGCCAGGGAGAAAAGAAGACAAATAAACACAGGAAGCCAGAGCTCATTATGAAAAATATGGCTAGCAATTCAGATAATTGCAATTATTCAGCCAGAGAAGCCAAAATAATGTAATCACACTGATTGGGCATGTAGCTAGTGGTAATACTTTAAAGAGTATCATTAGACTATTTAGAGCCAAAGCCACATTTTCCTTTTGGATAAATGTCATGCAACACCTTTGACATTGTGATGCCTTCATGGAACGATCCCGTTGAGCCAAGCTCCCTTTGACCAGCGTTCCCGTGGGACATACACATATACTGGCCATCTGGCCTTTCTCTCTTCCCTGCACACAGAGGTTGGAGAGCCACAGCACGGCTGTTTTGAGACTCGTTAGCTTTCACTTCCTCTCGGCCCACACCTCAACCTCTGCAAAACGAGGTGATCAGCAGGTTTTTTATCACCATGTAGAGTTTCAGACCCCTATTAAGGATGTTTTGATCCGGGGCTTTTTTGGAAAGCTGATGTCCTGAAACTCTGATGACATCCCAGAAGTTCTCTTCCTTTTAACCGTAAAGAAATAATTTTTATTTTATTAGATTTTATCTGGAATGATAAAGTTTTTCTTTGCTTTTCCTGCAAGGTACTTTATCTTATGCCACTCCCTCCTTTTTTTTCTCCCTTTTTTTTTTTTGCCACCCAAAGTGTTTTTATTTCCTTCTTTCATCCACTGCTGTTGCATTATCCCTGTCTTCAGGACCGACTGTTCTGTCCCCTCCTTCTCCCTAACCCTCTCCTTCTTAGGTGCATGGGTGAGTTTCCAGCTTTGCATACCCGCACACTTGCCTTTTCCTGAATGTAACCCCCAAGACAGAAGGGCTCCTGTGGGCACAGGACGCATCAAGCAGAGGGGAAGGCTTGACGTGTGCTTGCTCAGCCTTTAACTGCTTGCTCTGTCCTTACGGTAGAGTAGGGAGGAGATAAAACAGAGAGCCTTAGCAGTACTCTTCTCTTACACCCTGCCTCTGCACTGGCATTGAAGGAGGGAATCTGGGTTGCTTGTGTGGGTACCTACTTTGGGGAGAAGGGAAATGTGTGTGTTTTGCCTGATGCTGAAATTGAGGGTGGGCACAGACATTTCCGAAAAGCAGAGCAATGCCTCCTCCGGAAGGTGTGCGGAGCTGGGCCAGGGGGAGGTGCCATTCAGCAGGCGAGTGGGTGAAGCCAGGACCTCCTTTCATTTCCACTGGGGGTGGGTCCAAGCCCAAGCTCGCCCTGATGTCCAGCATCCGTACATTCATTTGTAGTTTCAGTTTGTTCTCGCTCATGGAAACTGGCACTTCTCCCCCTGTCCTGCCCATTATTTTTTCTTTTATTGGCTCTGTCAGGTGACCACAGTTCTGACTTTTGTTAATTTTTCTTTTAGTACATTCAACTGGACTGTCCCATTCCTGAGCTGGCTGGCGATTGTTGCCCTCTCTGTGTTCACCATCATCCTGTATTTCGTTCCACTGAGATACATTGTCCTTGTCTGGGGTAAGTAAAGCCTTTTTTAACTGCCTGTGCCACTTAAAAAAACCTGGTTTTTAAGGGATGACTTACATTGTCAGTACTTTTCTGTATTTATGGTCATGAAGCTGCCCCATGATGGAAACAGACAGGTTAGTTAAAAATCACAACTGCGTAAAGATTTAGGCCCACCTGCAAAATGCATTTTTCTTGGTTGGCATTCTAGACTTCATCATACTATAAACATGTAGCCATGAGGATTCTTCATATATCAAAGTGTAGCTTTGTCTAGATATTACTCTGATTTATTTTCACCACTTAGACACAAACAGAGGCATTTCAATCTATATAGTGCATTTAGGACAATATGCCTTTTACTGCAGTACTTTATCTTGTGAAAGCGTATGTAAACATGGCAACAAGAAACCTGTTTAAAGGGTCACCTTTAGTCCGACAGAAAGGTGTGTGTGGTATTTGGCTGGTTGATAATAAACAGAAACTGGGGGGGAGGGGGAGGATAGGGGGGTGGAATCATGATTGATCCAAGCTCTCACTACTTGTCCTTATATTTATTCTTTATACTGATTTTAAACAGCTACTGTTACCACATCTGTTGTAAATAATGCTCCAAGTTTTCATTTGTACATTTTTTATAGATCTTACACCACCAGCAGCTGTACCTTTATTCAGTAGCGCAGACTTGTAAAGAGCACTGTCTCAATTAAATCTGTGTCTAGATTTTCTTTCTGAAGAAAAGAATAACATGCCTTTGTAAAAAATTCTGAACTCAAGAGACAACATAAAATCACTGACCTGACTCCAGAGAATGTATTTGTTATATATCAGTCAGTATTAGTAATATTCTTACAGACTCTTCACAAATAAATGTGGCAGAATGTACAAAATGGAGAAGAACCAATATGGAGGATTTGAACAAAAATTTTTTTTATGGAACCGAAGAAGCAAGTGTCTTTTCCTGTCTCGGAATTTCACTTATGCCCCACATAACCTGTGTCACTTGGGTGCAGCCCAAACTCTTTGTTCCCAAAATGTCATTCTTCCTAGTGCACACAAGATGGTAGGCCTCTTGTTACTGAAGTTTGAAGTACTTGGTCTATGTCCTTTTTCTGTCGTTTTTCAGACAGATCTGGTATCTTGTACACTTGCTTTCATACATCCCCTTGATTTCATGCAAGACCCTGAGATTATAATACCCTGCCAAGACCCACAAAACTATACGGGCAGCACTGTTGTTTGAAAAACTCCTGACACGTACCCCTGCGATACCCCGGGAGGGGTCACACTCCCCTAGAAATGTCTGTGTTTCAGGTAAGGCAGAGCCATGACTCCCACACTGGAGTCCATGCCTCCCCAACCATGGATGGATAACGTAAGCACAAGTTATTGTAAATGGACCTTGCTCTCTCTCCCTCCATCTCTTCCCTGCCTGCCCCTGAGTTATCCAGTCTATCTAGATCCGACTTCAAGCACCTTTGTTCACTAGAGGTTTCAGCCCCACATTGTTCTCCTCCATTTCAGTGTAGGTGGCTTCTTGTTGAGCGGGTGTCTGGGGGTCCCTTCTTTAGGGACCTATTTCTCTTGCATTGGGCCGGGAGACCAGACAGGTACTGCATAGCTGCAGCTCCAGCAGTGCAGACCTCCTCGGGGTGAAATGCGTTCTCACAGAACCATGTCGCGCTTTGTGTAGCTTTGAGCAGCTGTCCCTTCAAAAAATGTAGTATTCCAAACGCATGCCTGTTTTCTCCATTACTGTGTGTTCCTAGCCTCCCCCACGTATATACATTTCTTGATTCCATTCATCCATCCTGCGCTTGAAAGCAAATGACCTCTGTTGTCCAACTTCCATCCATAGGAAAGTTTGAACTGGTCTGTAGCAGCATCTACCCATTTTGTTCTTTGGGAAGGCAGGAGTTTTTAAATGAAAAGTCCTCCATGTTATGGCTCGTCTTCTCTATAGCTGCCTTTCTTCTGTGCATCCATAGGGACTGCTTCTTTTGGCCTGCACTGGCAAGAAATTCTCAGTTCTTTCCCTCCTGGACATGTTTCTCCCCGTGGAGACTGCTGGTCCTTGAACATGTGATGCATTAGCCGTGGTGGAGCAGGAACCACCTCTGCACTCTAATCCCATTCGTTAGAGTGCAGAGCCCTGGTAACAGCTGCAGCTGTTTGTGTGGAAAAGAGTATAAAGAAAATTATTTTAATGAGAAAATTTTCAAGCTTTTGGAAAAGACCTAATCACCTTGTCGTATTTTACTTCTCCTGTAGTGTCCCATCTCATCTGTTCGGCTCTTTTCTTTTCTTGAGCCTTGACCATGATTTATTCTTGCATTTGCTTTCACGGGGTGACTGGTACTTTTCTTTGTCAGATGTGACAAGGTGAGACCATATCAACTCCTGAATTCACCCGTGTGTGGTTCAGTGGCCACGTGCAATGAACAGTGGGGTAGACCTTGAATTTCTCAGTCACTTGCTGATGCAAAGGATCTTCTTGAACAAAGGTGTTTGAATCTCAGATATTCTTTCTCAACACTCACTGTTCAATCACCAGATAAAGCGATGGCAGCATCTGGCATGTCTACACCGCAGAACTGAGAATTCATGCAGTGGGAGGCCATGGGTGTTATCAAGACTGCAGCTTGCGCACTCCGTCCCGAAGCTTTATGTCCTTGCTAAAGCTTTCTGAAAGGCCTGGGCACCAGAAACTTCGTGGAAGATAAACTGTATTATCTTATCTCTGATACAGCCTTGATAAATTACGCAGAACAGCACATTTTTAATGCTGTCCCGGCTTTCTCCCACACACGTGAGAGTCGGTGCGGTTCGTACCATTCCTGCCCATGTTTTAGACATGTGTTCCCAGAGCACACACGCACGAGGTTCTCCTGTGAAAAGTGTATGAATCTGACCCAGTATGTAATGACAAGAAAATGAGTCTAATTTAAAAGCCTGCTTTCTGCTTAGTTTGGGGAGGATTGGTGCTTCTGAACACTAATTATCGTGTGCATCGTAAGACCGTGATGTCTAAGGGAGACATCGCATCCCTACTCTGCACTGCCATCAGATCGTCTGTATCTGTCATTCCCGGACAGAGGTTTGTGTAAACTCAACCTAAAGTCTTCACGTGGTGCAGACTTCACTGCTTCCCGTATGCTTCGCCATCCTTAGCATTGGAAAGATTTTCCGTGTGTCTAACAATGTTCTGTCCTGCAATTAAGCCCAATACTGCTCATCCTCTCCGCCACAGAAGTGGAGTACACTTTATTCCTCTCTTTTTTGCAACTCCACATAGTAACCACAGTTTCTATTAGTTTCAAAAAAAAGTGTTGGAGGAATTTGAAAATGTCCCTGCAACTTTTGCATTTTGAAGCAGAGGGAACGACAGCAGCAGATTCTGACTTTTCGAGCATGAGTTTACAGTTCATTTTTTTCATTAATTCAGTGCTAATGTCAGGCTTTGAAATGGATCCTAAAATCTTTATTAGAAATTTGCCAAATTTTTTTTTTTTTAAGTTGTGATAGTAACATTTGAACTTTCACTTTTGCAGGCATCAATAAATTTACAAAGAAGCTTCGAAGTCCGTATGCAATTGATAACAATGAGCTACTTGACTTTCTATCCAGAGTTCCTTCAGATGTGCAAGTGGTGTGTATATTTTTTAAAGTGTCTGTATGGTAGTTAATTTGATATGTGGCATCTTGACTTTCTGGGGTTTTTTAAACAAATTTTAAAGCAGTTATTTTGCTTCAACTTTATATTCTTTGGCACAAGGAAATTGCAAACTCAAGCTGGGGATAGTCCATGAACCTTAAGTAGGCTGCTAGACTGTTTGCAGCGAGGAATTAGCTACTACCTCGGTTGTGCCTTTGAGGATGCTTAGGAGCAATCAGTAAAAAGACAAGTATTTGGGGGATGGTAGCAGGTGCTAGAGTTTGTATTAAACAGCCTGAGGCACCATGTGAATCTGACTGGGATAAGGCACTGTGTAGGAAACGCTGGAGCTGAGGCCGTCAGGACATGCAGAGAGGGAATAGGAAGGTCGAATGATGTAAAGAGCTGCACGGACACGGCGTCAGCGGCGGGCGGCTTTGCCCAGTGCCTTGTGGCAGCACCCAGAGCACTTCAGCCTTTCTTTTCCTGGGGTGAAAGTTTTTGCTGTGGCCACAGTTCAGCTGTGCTCATAAACTCCTTTAAAAATAAGCTGGTTATGATTTACAAGCTTTTGTAATGCGGTACACAATCTCTTGAGAAGGTGCAAGCATTAAGATAACGTCAGGCATATAAATCACCTGCAGTATCACAAAGATTGTATACTTTCCGTATTTCTAGGTAACGGTTTCAGTTCAGAGCTGGTATAAATGGGAGAGATGGGCGCACGTCTGGGTCTGATCCCCTCTGTGGTAGGCCTGTGAAAATAAGCAAGCTTTTAAGAAACATTGCAAAGAATATTCATCCAAGTCATTAAAGAGTATACTGTTTATTCTCTGTTAGAGCTCACGGAGAAAACAAAAAAAGTAGCCGCCTTAAAGTTTACGTCAGAACGCTGTTTTACTTCCTGGCAGGATTCTCCTAATGCTGTTTTTCCTTCTTAATCTAGATCTGTCATTCTGTTGTTGTTGAATCACAGCTGCAGATCCCACGTAGTTTGCAGGAGGATAGTTTTCTTTTTCTTTCTTTTTTTGCCCTGGGAAAAAAACAGAATTCTTTCTTTTTCTAGCAAGCGCCACCTGACCGGTTTCTTTCTGAACGTTGTGTTTAAACAGGTGCAATACCATGAACTGAAACAAGATCCCAGTCACAGCCCGAGCAAGAGGAAGAAAAACAATCCTGGCTAGCCAACTTCATGTGTTGAGGAGACTAGCATCTGCTGGGGGAAGATAAAAGAAAAAGCCTACAGCCTAAGCAGCGTTTCCTTTCTCTAAGCTTTTTATTTATTTTGCCTTTTTATCTAATGGGGAGATTTTGTAAATACTGTAAAAAGGCATTTCTCATTGAAGATACATTTCACACTGTAAAGACACATTTGACGAAGGTTTCAAGTAGAGTTTTTGCCGTTTGAAAGCCTTGTTAGAAACAGCATAACACGTTAAAGGAATCAATCTAAAATGGTAAATATGCACCGCTACTTGATGGTCACAGGTACCTGAAATACTCAAATCATGCTGACTAAATCTACAAAAGGTGTAAATTTGAATCTGACTCAAAAATTCAGTCAGATTTTATTTGTGAGCATTAATATTTTTATCCAGTAAGTCACCATTACGATTTTCTATGTTTTATACATTTCAAGAGAAATACAATGTAGTGGAGCCTACTGCACTTAAGTTTTAGCAGATTTTTTTGAACTCCAGACCCTGATGTTAACTCCTGGTGCAATGTTTTCCTGTGCAGTAGGGCTGCTTATAAGATAATGAGAAACACCAAGTGCAAATCTCTTTCTGGAGCTCCCAAAAGAAGTTCCTGCCGTTTTTATCATTCCATTATAAGACCTAAAAATCTCTGTCTCTCTCAAAATACTGCCAGGTTTGTAACTGATGATTGCCTATCTGATTTTTCTATATGTACCAGTAATCTTCATTTGTACTACATAGTTTAGTGAATGAAGTTCATAGTTCTGCTGCAATGGAAATACTATCAAACTAACTCCATATTGCTTTGGGTGTCATGCTATGAACACCTTTTGTGCACATAACTATTTTAATATGGAAATCTTGCAGAAAATGTTTTTGCTTTCAAATCACAAGATCATATTAATACGCTTTATGATATAACACATTACCTGTTACCAATGTGAAATATAGTGTAGAGGAAAAAATGCAGTTGTGGTAAAACTGATATACCAGTTTTATTTCCTTAGCTAATAATGTAGTCAGTTCTTCTGATACGATTGTGCCCTACTGCATGGAAACTGCATTATTTTATAAATTACATTGAACATAAGATGAGAGACGTTTACATTTCAAATGTCTTAGTGGCCACTGCATAATGAGTACTTGGGGATATATTCTGATAGCTGCATGTAGAATTCCACGCTCAGCTCCCCGCGTAGTGAGCAGAGACTTCATTCCTAAGGGACTACCTGTGCACAGCCCTTAGTCGTAGCTCCCAGTGACATTAAAGGGGATTTTTGCCCAGGGGAGAACGGCAGGACTGCATCCTCGAGAGGAGCTGTTCCTGTGGTCCTCTCTGGGTTACCTCTCATTGGTTGCAATTGCTGATAAAGTTATATTGCACTACTCTAACAATACTTTTTGAAAAGACTATTTAGAAATACTTTGCAAGCAAATGTATATATATTTGTCTAAAGAATTATGTGTTAGCTGCATTGCTCATGAAAGATCATTCTGGATTTGTTTATTTTACAGATACGTTGATAGCCGGTTTCTGATGTGACAGTTATTTTGATCTTCTGTTTGTATGTTTGAAAGAATGCCAATCAAATGACTGTTCTGCAGAAAGTCTTGGACCTAAATATGCTCTTGTTACATCATGACTTTAAAAGAATTTATTTGCGAAGCTTGTGTAACCACCTTTTCACTGTATGCTGCCCGAAGAGCGACATACTATTGATTAAGTCAGAATCACTGATGAGCCTATTTTGTTTAAAAAAAGCCAAACTTTTGACTTGACAATGTGCGAATGTTTGTTGCCAGTTGTCAGTTTTGCAGAGTTCTTTGATACGCTGCAAGCCTTGTACCTTATTAATGTTGCCCATTGGTCTGCGTGCGATTTCCCGTTGTGTTTTTTTCTGTACTCAATTTCAAATGTCTACTTTGGTGGTAATGTCTGAGTTAGTTATACACATTTACTGCATTAAACACAGTTTTAAGCATCTCTCTACTAGGTATTAGGAAGCCTCTTTCTTTGAAGTCCTACGCTATCGTTTTCCCATGAGTGGTGTGAAGGGCAAGAGAATGCAAACATCATATTTCTGTGTGCAGGATTTCAGTATTTTAAGCCCCAAAATATATAAGTGGAGGGGGCAGGGGAGAAGGACATCTGTTTGTTGAAAATTGGTGAACTACTTTTAATGCCTCAATCACTCAAAATTGGTCTCACTGAAAATATAACACACAGAGGCAAGGCTAAGAATGCATGTTGATTAAATATGATTCTCCTGCCACAACAGGACATTTTAAAATCACATTTTAAAATAGTTTGTCAGTGAACGCATTTTCAGTATTTGCAGTTTGTCTACTCTGCTTTGTGTGGGAGGCCTCTGTAGAGAATCAGTCCTGCCTTATGCCGTAAATATTTCAACATATCTTCCATTTCCAGATGGGTTCTGAAGTCAATTTCTAACCTGTTAGATTTGCCGGGTATTATTCCTAACCAAGTTGTCCATTCATAAGCAATCACAGAAGAATAATGCATCTCATAATCATGAAACTCTTTCTGCTCTCAGAAAATAAAATTCAACAACTGTATTTGAGTCCAGTGAAAATTAGTAACTTAATTGGGGTCCACACTTACAGTAGGTGTCAGAGCACTCAGGATCCATCGACGCTAATTGTCTGAGAGGTTCTAGTTACATTTCTGCTGATAACTCACAGAACTTACCCTATTTTTACAATTATTTCTCTTTGTAGTAAGGAACAACTAAGTGTTTTTCATATTAGCAATGAGCTTGAATTTGAAGAGCTACTGTACTGTAACAGCATTTTAAATCCAAGTGGAATAAAACCCAAGGTTTTTCTATTGCAATTAAAACAACAGTGGAATAATCAGAAAGTCATTAAGCAGGCTGCGTACAGCGTATCTGCTAGTGTGGGCCCTAAGAGCATAGGCTTTTTTATCAGCAAGAGGAAGAGCTGCTGAACCTGCCAGCAAATGTACTAGGTGATGCTGAAGTATTTCATTCTGGGATAGCCCCAGAGCACAAAGCAAAGGAGAGAAAGGAAAAATTATTTCTCTTACCAGTGCTAGATCACATACCTGCCACACAAAACGTAATAAAAGCTTTGCAGCTCTCTGCCCGGCAGCCGGGGATCCCTACCTCGTGGGAGAGGGGCAGCTTCTACCCGTGCCCCCTTTCCTTGCTCGGCTGCAGGAGTCTTGCTGACAACCAAACACAAACTTCTTTCCATTTCTGAGCCTGCTTCTCTTTTGAGGGCAAACTTTTTTCTCCCAACTGGGCTAATTTCCAGATTGCTGTGCAGCTACTTCTATTAAAGACAGCTCATCTCCCCACCCCACCCCCAAAACTGCTATTGCAAATTTTCAATAAATACCTCCTCCTCCAGAATTTTTCTGAAATCTTGCAAAGGTGAAAAACCAAAACTTTTTCCATCAAACACAGTTGCAATTATAGCTGTTTTTCAGTGTGGAACACCAGATTTCTATTGCTTTCTGCCTCATTAAGGTATAGCATAAAAGGAGCGTATCTTCAGGCTCCCAAAGGGGAAATTCAGCTACTCCCAGCTAAAGTGCAATCTTTAGACATCAACCTAGAAAAATGTGAAACCTTGAACAAAGCATACTGTTCTCTCTCACTCACAGAACTCAGTGAAATGCAACTGGTTGAAAGGGTCATGCAATTGGTGAATCAGTTAAGGGCCAAGCAGAAGGAATGAGGATGGGGAGCAGCTTGGAGAAGCACATTTAGACCCAGAGAGAGACATTCACAAGGGCTCACCTCGAGGCGGTGCTCTCCCTCTGCACTTGGTAGAGAAAGAAAAGATCCTTCCTACCAGAAGACCAGTGCAGCTGTCCTAAACCACCTTTAGCTCTATTTCTCCACATTGGAAATGTGGCGAGCTGCTTCAGTTGGCTAGACTTGGCCTTTGTTGTGAATACGACATCCCTTCCCTTAAAAGCAGCTTCTCGCTCAGGAAAAGGGAAAAAAAAAAAAGTTATGTAGCGCAGCTGCTGCCAGCCATGGAAGGTGTGAGCAGGTACAGGTCAGGTCATCAGATCAGGAGGTTGGATACTTCTTGCTGCAAGAGGCATTAGAAGTTTTCTCCTCTTTCGTGTCATAGTAATCAATCAAGAAAGAGAAGGCATGTTTCTCATAAACTAATGATTTTAGGTCTTAATTAAAAAAAATCCATACGCTGTCATTGTGCAAAAAATGAAATAAATCTTAACTATCTGTTGCACAGGACATTGTACTTCTGGAAAATTTCTTTTTTCTCTGTAAGAATTTAATGCTCAAAGAAAGTCAGATTTAGCCATATTTCAAACAGGACAAATTCCCCATCAATGAATCTTGAGTGTCCAACTTAAATTTCTGGAAGTTTGAAATTTAGTTCTTTTACCAAAGGGGCGAACAATAGTATAACTACTTTTTTCTCCTCATCAGCCTTAGTAATAAATGAAATTTAAATGTCAAAAAATTTTTATGGTTCAGGTTGCACAATATAGAAGCCTGAAACCCAGTCATGATTCATATGGTAATACATATTTTCCCCTTTTAATATAATCAAAAGAAACTTAGAACTGCTTTTCTTGCTCAGCTTTTACTTAAGGTCTTTAATCAGCAGGTGATTATAGAAGCCTGAAACCCAGTCATGATTCATATGGTAATACATATTTTCCCCTTTTAATATAATCAAAAGAAACTTAGAACTGCTTTTCTTGCTCAGCTTTTACTTAAGGTCTTTAATCAGCAGGAGATTAAAGGAATGACTAAAATGTTGATCATTGATATATATTTTGATTAAAGAGTGCTAATCAATATTTTCTGGAAATATTTAATAAGTCAATACTGCCTGACCTGCTTTACCACTGCCATGAAGACACATTCCTAAAAGTTTACTTTTTGCGTAATTGCACATGATCTTTTTCAGGCATGTCACCAAAAAAACCAAAGCCTTTTAGATCCACAACTGATGAA